ATTTGTGTCAAACTTCTGATTGAAAAAAGTCAACAAAACTTATGGAGTTATGGGTGCAATTGCGGGGGGGCTAGAGTGATCGTGAGGAGGCGAGGTCGGGGGTTTGGGCTTATGTAGGGGGTTATGATGGATATGAATCGTCAATTTTACGAACGGAGCAACATAGGTGTCGATTGAAATGGTGTCACAGAGTTTATCTCCCGCCTAAATTTTTTTACACTTTACAATTTAAAAATCACGAGAATATTTGTTTATTTTAGATATTTATTAAGTTTTTGGCAAAATAGATTTTTTGTTACTATTTACTTTGTAGAGTTATTGAAGTAGTTTTAAATTTTATAAATTTTATTTTATATTTTTATATCAATATTTAATTAAAAAGATAAAAAACTTAAAATTTCACTTTCTTTAGTATATAGTGCAAAACATCACCTTGGTTCCCATGACACTGGTTCCCAATGTCATGGGATGACCCAGGGGCGATCCGGTATCCCGTTCGTAAAATTGACGGTTCCTACCCCCATAACCCCCCGGTAAACCCTCCCACCCCGCCCCCTACCCGAATACACCCCCTCACCCCCTTCAATTGCACCCCACAAGTCGATTTTGACTTTGGAGTTTAACTCCAACTCCAAAGTCAAAATCGACTTATGGGGTGCAATTGAAGAGGTGAGGGTGTGTTCGGGTTGGGGCGGGGTGGGAGGGTTTACTGGGGGTTATGTGAGATAGGAACCGTCAATTTTACGAACGGGGCACCGGAGCACTCTGAGTCATCCCATGACATTGGTTTCCAATCTGGTTCCCAATGTCATGGAACCTCCCCCACAAAACATTTGGGAGAATATAAAAATGACCATTGAGGCCCTGAAATTCGCTCCTCTCCCAAAAAACGGACTCCTACGGCCTAACTCAACTAACTACGGGAAAGAGCGGCAGACCAGCACAGCTCCGCCCATTATCTCCTCCTCCTCCTCCACCGTAAGATTCTCTGCAAAATTATTAACAGAGAGAGTGAACTCACGCTCCTCTATCCAGTTCTATAACTCACGCCACCATAACACATGCGTTTATGCGTACACAGCGGGAGATGATTTCGGGAACAATCTAGCGGGAAAGGAAGGAATCGCGGATTTCTCGTCGGGACAATCTCTCATGAATTCGCCTCCTCGACTCGATCCGCTGCAATCTGTATTGTTCGCATTGCTTGATTTCGCGATCGGGGGAGATTTACAGGGCCGAGTGCGGTAGCGCGCGGAGAGCTTTTTGTTTTGCGGCGAATGGAGGAGAGAGGCGGCGGCGGCGGAGGATCGTTCGTGGCTGTGAGGAGGATATCTCAGGGCCTTGACAGAGGAAGCACTTGCCATTCCAATTCTGGTAACGCAAACTTTCACTGAATTATAGGAAGAAGAAAAAAAGTGATAAGAGTAGGAAACAAATTTGATCTATGAGTAGCTTTTGCTGCATCTATCTGTAGCTAAAGGTGTTTGTTGGATTTGGATAGTAATCAGAGTAGTGAATATTGGTTTCTCTCGATGTTGTGCAGGAGTGAATTCTAGAGCTTCCAATAGCTGAGTTGAAATTTGTTTGGTTTTGTTTGATTTATTACGCCTATTTAACTGCATTCACATACTGGCTATGGTAGTTTCTTTGCTATCCTTCGTTTTCACATCTCGACTTCGTCATAGAATCTCCCATTTTGCTTTCATGAGGATTTTCTGTGGAACGGAAGTAGGAAGTATGCTTATGATTTTGTGTGGTGATTGTCTATCCATACTCGTTAAACAGGCCATGGTATTGTTTTACAATACTCTTTCTTGCAACACACAGAGAGAATATTTTACAAAGGGACACTTTTACTGTATGATCACAGTTGTATTGTTTTATGGATCAGAATTATGACTATCTAGCTGGCTTCTATGCAGACATATGTGTGTGGGGGGGGGGGGGGGGGGGGGGGTAGCTATTTCAAGTGGAATGTTTCATTTCTGTGCTAATAAATGTGGGGCTTAGAACGTTTTGGTTAATTGGAATAGGCTAACATGAAAGTGTTTATTTGGAAATCCTTACCCTCCAATTTAGAAGCACCATAAGTGCATTACATGCTCCTGTCAAGTGTAAATATGTGTTTTCCTTCCAAATATGCTTAATAATTTTCCTTTTCCGGGATAAGCTGCATTTCGTTAAATTCATCCTTTAGTTCTAGAAGCTAAACTATCCTCTGATGTGGCATCTGAAGTGCTTTTATAAAACAAGCAGGAACTCACGAAATTACTAATTTAGGTTCCCTATCACCTTTACCTGATGATTTTCTTTCGTTACAGCAGAGGCTGTCACAGGATCAGCTGCATGGCTTGGAAGGGGGTTATCATGTGTTTGTGCTCAAAGAAGAGAGAGTGATGCTCGTCTCTCAATCGATTTGACACCTTCACAGGTACACTGATTGAGTCAAATTAAATGACTTTGTCTGAGCTTGGAAACTGTATCCCAGTGTCAACTCTCTCTTGTTCATATTCTTACTAATGCTTTTCTGGAAGCTGCTTAGAAAAAGATGTGATGATTAATTCCACTGTGGTGGTTACAGGAGGAATGCTTGCAGAGGCTACAGAGCCGTATAGATGTTGCTTACGATAGTTCAAATCCTGAACATCAGGTAGTTTATTTATTATATGTCACGAAAAAAGTTTGACAGTTTTTTAATCATCATTTTTGCACATCTTTTACTAATTCCGACAGGAAGCTTTAAGGGCTCTATGGAATGCAGCTTTCCCCGAGGAGGAACTCCGTGGCCTAATATCAGAGCAGTGGAAAGACATGGGTTGGCAAGGGAAAGATCCATCTACTGACTTTAGGTATGCAGATTCTTTCCCTATCTCTTCAAATCATTGTGAAGGCTCATTTTAGCTTCAATGTATGAACATTTTGTTTTACTAGCTTCCCAGGTGTTATTTATTCTTTTTTTTGTTTACGCATACAGGGGCGGTGGATTTATATCACTGGAAAATTTATTATATTTTGCTAAGAACTTCCCGGTAATTTTTCCATTCTATTCTATGTTTTTTGTACTTGTTGTCTATCATGTCTGAATTTAGTTTGATTGCTGTTAAACTACTTCCTCATATAGTTTCACATTCAATGCATACATTAACATTACTGGCTTTCCGTCCGTGATATTCCGCGTGGTTTCTATCCTTAGGGTATCAATGCTAAGTTGGCAATTGTATTGATTGTTTCTAGCTCCTCCACATCATGTTTTAATACCTTTGCATGGCATGGAAATGAGCTTTTGTAATCCAAGAGACAAATGAAACCTGCATTTTATTTCTAAGAATTAGAAATTGTGTACATTTTTGTAATTGCTTGTTCTTCAATTTAATATATTTTCACCGGGTTCTTTAAATTTCTCTGACATGAGAACATTACCAGCCTGCGATTAGTAGGTCAGAAAATCTTTTACATAGTGGTATCCATATGGTTATTGAGTTTTGCATTTTAATGCATAAAGACATCTAGAAATTTTTCAACTATCATCTATCTATGAGCTATTCTCTTAATCTTTATTGCATCTATTTACAACCTTCCCAACTTATTCACAAAACCATTAGTGCATATAATTCACAAGCAATATGCAATTTCATTCTTTCACTGTTGGAAATATGTTTTGGTTGGTTTTAATAGTTTCACTTGCTTCTGATGTAACTTGCAGAAATCCTTCCAGGATCTTCTTCGAAAGCAGGAAGGTGACAGAGCCCTGTGGGAATACCCATTTGCTGTTGCTGGTGTTAACATTACCTTCATGCTTACTCAGATGCTTGATATAGAAGCAGGCATGTCCCTCTTTTTTGCTCCTCTCCTTTCTTTTTTTTTGTATTGTTTTGCATATCAACTTTTCTGTATACCTTTTTTTCTCCCCAATGGCTATTGCTTCTGCACTTCTACTTATCTGATATTTTCCCTTTCTAACTTCAACACATGCTCAATTATGCATATTCACCTTTTGGGTGATCTGTTAGATTTTACAATGATGATATGGCTTCAGTAATTTGTGTTTCGTGTAATTGAATGCATCTTGAAATGGTGCAGTAAAACCACGGAACCTGGTAGGAGCATCATTCTTGAAATTTCTGGCAGGTAAATACTACCAGGCCACAGTTTTAACTTTTAGTCTCTGCAAAGTTTCTTAATAAATTCTCCACTTCTTCGCTTTCCTCCCGGGATGTATAATACGGACTGTTATGGTTATGAGGTTATCTGATGAATGCTTAATAAGCTTCTGGTTATAGTCTATTCAGTCTATGATTGAATCAAGTTGCCATTTGTTGGACAGATAATGAATCCGCATTTGACCTTCTCTACTGTATTGCATTCAAGCTGATGGATCACCAATGGCTTGTCATGCGTGCCTCGTACATGGACTTCAATGTATGTGCTTTGTTTTGTTTCCCATTGAGATAGTCTATATGCTCACCGAAGGGTTAAAATAAAAAGAATAAAAAGACGTTATCTTCCACAGGCGGTGATGAAGGCTACAAGGAGGCAACTGGAAACTGAACTTCTACAAGACAACGTGACACGGCTTGAAGATTTGCCCTCGTACAATCTCCTCTGCTGATGGTTTTGTACGTTATGTGGCTTTTTTCTGGTTACGTTTTCCAACACGGTACATTAGTTCCATCACATGGCATTTGTCAATGCGCTGTTTTTACGTCGTTTGCTTGGACTAAAGGTGTTTTTCTCGGCTCGTTAACGACATTTTTTTTACACATATCTCTCTTTTATTCATATTATTCTTCTTTTCTGCTATAGAAAGAGTTGCTATAGAAACATGCATTTTAGTTCCTAGACAGATGGATCAGTAGATCTTAAAATAGTAAGTGGACCAAGACAGATACATGATAAGCATCTGTACTAAAATATATGTTCACTACATTGATGGAAACCGTACCCCACTATATATATTGGCTTGTCTGTTTGTTTTCATGTACAATGCTACAATCCAAACGTATAGAAGGGCACATTCATTACATAGAACTGCATAGAAGAAATGGTTTATGAAACCAACAAATAAGAGAACCAATTACGAAAAGAATGATTGATTGGTTTGAATTGTGTAATGGGGTCTACCAAAAAAGAATTGAGTGAGTCATGGGGATGATGAAAAAAATTAATTAAATTTATCTATTGTGACAGAATGGATTTTATATTGGACCAAAAAAAGGATTTTATATTTGATTTTTTACTCTCAATCCATTACTTTAAATATTAAAATTTACCAATTTTGATCAAGTCATGTCTTTTTTATGCATGTACTTCAATTTGATGCTTACACTTAATTAATTTAATACTTTTAAAATAAGAGTTTGGAAAGGATATACTTATAATTTTATACACACATACTAAATTTCATTCATTTTTCCAACAAATTGTTATAAACTTTCATTTTCATTGAACTTAAGAAAAAGAAAAAGTATTGGCGAGTAAAATATGTCTAATCGAGATTGGGAGAAAAATGAGATACTTTTGATGTCCCAATTTAAATTTTATGTTTATTACAAAGTATTTATAAGGTCTAGAACCGTTTACTACCTTTCTCAATTTTTGTTTTTCGTTTGATAAAATAATATAATAATGTTACTTCTTTGTTTCGTAATTTTTTTTGATATTGTTTTGAATATATAATTTTTTTAAGTCCACTTAATTTTCATATAAAATGTATTACTTCAATCAAACATCATAAACTAAAACAGATTCTATGCTTGGTAAACCATTTACTAAACCTGATTACAATATAAGGGTACTTTTACATACATGACCAAAGATAAGGTATACTTGCAGTACAATATAATGTATACTTTCATTACAACCTAAACTGTAATACCACAAAAATAAAAAATATCCTATTGCCTAAAATCTGCATGTTCAAAAGTTCTTCTCTAGCTTTCAAATGTCCATGCAACACTTGTTCCCATCCAATAATTGTGCAAAAAGTCTCTGGAAGTACATAGAAACATTGTATCTTTCCTTGGCCATGTTTGCACATATATCAAAAAGTACACTAAATCAAGGTACTGATATTTGTTCCTCTAAGAACATTTTTGCAGTTTCATAGACCTGTCTGGTAACCCCCAAGTTTTGGGGTAGTGTCCCTTCTCTGGCCAACCTTGTTTTTCCAATGTGAGGGATTTTGAATTGGTTACCTCCTTAGTGACTTAGAACCTCACCCATGACCCCTTGAAGAGTCAAAAATACATTATTAAGTTTCTCTAGTGATAGTTCCTCATAAGCTATTGTAACAGCTTGAATCAACTCTGTCAAGGACCTAGCTGCTGTTTGGTCTTGCAAAGAGTCAATGGACCTAAAGAATCCAAGATCAAGTACGTTTAGGTCCGGTCTGTTGGGTGGCTGGAACTTCAGTTGGATGTTCCAATTATCTTCTTGAGCAGCTTCCATAAGATCAGGGTCACTGCCATCCACATGAGGCTTAACATTATCTTGCTGTACTATTATATTCCTTGATGGTCCTGGCCATTTTTCTTTAATGGCTGGCAGTAACTTAGTAAGCAACATCATCTTCATCACTTCTCTATTTATGATTGGGATGGGCTTTACTTCCATTGTTCCTGCAGGCCTGTTCTTACTAGACCTTTGAGCTGGAGCTTCATAAGTGAATGGGAAAATGCCTATTTTCCCATCCCATAGAAGCTCCCCATCCTCCCCATACCTAGGCCTACCAACATCAGCTAGAAACATTATTTTTGGTATGAAACTCTTGCTTTGGATGGTCCTGTATGGGTCTGCCTCATCTGGCAGTGCATAGTATGTTGAGGTTTGTTTTGTTATGTCAAACCATTTCTCATCAATATGAATATGGTCATAAAAGTCATAGAATTTTGGGCTAATGGGGACAGAGGGGGCAGTTACATGATCCAAACAGAACTTCAGTCTATTAAGCATACCTTTTTTAGATAGTAGTGGCTTGATGGCATTTGAATGCCTCCTGATGTTTTTCCTATTAAGCCATCTATGGACTGTGGATTTTGACACATCCATAGCATGGGCAAGTGCACGCATGTTCTTTCTCCTATTAAAAGGCACTGCTGCCATTTTTTCCATGTCCAGAGGGAGCCTTTTCCTGCCACTATTCCCTTTCCTTTTGCATTCAACATTAACGGGTAGACCACCCTCGAGTTGACTTGTAGCTACTACCCAAAGCTTGCTGACTGTTTTCACTAAAAAGCTGAATTCCTCAGCTACCTTCTTAATGACACCGTGCTGAAGTTTGCCGTTTTTGGACTGTTGCAGTAACACATCGACCACCCTTTTTCGTTTTTCATTGTGTACACAACCTTTCCCGTTGTTTTCGCTTTCTGTTGCAGGAGTGTCGAGGTTAGGAAAAGGCACGTCAATCACTTGGGGAAGATTGTCAAACGAGGATGACTCATCGTCTGAAAAGGAAAAGGAAGTGGATGAATCCAAAGAAGATTCAGGAGGGGCCATGAAGAAGCTTAAGAAGAGAAGAAAGAATAAGTGAATGCATTCAATACATTCCTTAAATAGAATTCTGATTTTGATGTATTTCCATTTTCGTTTTGGAGGGTTTTTGGTTGGAGGGAAGTTCAAATTTTCCCAAAAAAAATTGGTGGCTGTAATTGTGTTCAGCCGTACAGGAAGTATGGGCTGCTTCCTGTTTTTCTCTCATCAGTGTACTGCCGATTTGATTGCATGTGTACTCCATTTAATTATTTAATCCCACTTTACACTATTCATACATTTGCTTTTCTCTACTTTATTTTAGGGTTGGGGTAAAAAGGGAAAGTCAAAGCACAAATATCCCTTCCTTAATTCCTCCAAAAGTCAAAACCGGAACATTTTTAAGGGATGGAGGAAGTATTAAATACTGGTCAAGCCGCCGCCGTTACAATACATAAATTAAATACTGGTCAAGCCCGATACATTTATCCGGATTTGAATGAGATTAGGGAGGTTATAATTACTTAATTAGATCCATAAAGGCTTTAAGAGATTAATTAATTGAGCTTTTTATTTAAGTATCGTTCTTCAAATAAAACGGAAAAGATGATGAAGATGGTTTCCAGAAGAAGAAGATGGATGGTAATTGTGGTGAAACTATTGCCTAAGATGTGTGCATTATTGATTTTTTTATTGCTGCATGGAGTAGTAGTGGCGCCGCCGGCGTCGTTGTTATTTGGAGATATTTATGTTGATGTGGATTGCCTCGATAAGTGCTTCCCCGGCGGCGGCGACTGCACGGACGGCGGCGGGGATTATCTTGAATGCGTGATCGCCAAGCTCGACGCATGCTCCGGTAGTTGTGGTGGCCGCTCCTCCGCGGGTGGATCATCGTCTCCTCCGGTAATGGCGCCGGCAAGATGATAATGCTCCTTCCGTCCCAATGTCTAATTTAACTTTTTTGAATTAGGCAGAATAAATTTCGAGCTTTAATAAATCAAAAATTGTAATATATACTAGTTTAAAAATGATTTTAATTGATAGATCTTGTTGAAAAAATTTAAAGTTTTATTTTATTGTACTAACATGCAATACAAATTGGAAATAATTGAAAACACTTCCCATTTTGACCAAGTGTCAAAATAAGATAGTGTTAAATTATACTTCCTCCGTCCCAATTTATAGTGTCTGTTCACTATTCACAAAGTCAAACTTCATTCACTTTCTTTCTCTATTTTCGTTAGCAATTTGATAAAATAAAATATTATTGTCGCTACTAGTTTTGTATATATCTTTTGATGTTGTATTTTAACATGTAATTTTTTTTTAACTCTATACCATTTGCCAAATAAAATAATTTGAAAATAATTTTAGTCAAACATCGTAAATCGGAACAGGCGCTATAAATTGGAACGGAGGGAATAGTTGACTTCCAATTATGTTCGTGATGTGAAGGGTAAAAGTAACATGTAATATATAGATTATCAGAGAAAAAGTTTGATATGATAAGTCGGATAAGAAAAAAAATATGAGTAAAAGCAAGTTTTAATAAAAAATGAAAATATTTTGATAGAAGAGAAGAAATGGAGAAGAAGTATTTCTTAAATGGAGGGGAAAAGATAAATTGAGAAGGTATTTTGCTCATTTACCTTCTTAAAAAGGTAAGTATACCCATTTAAAAGATTCTCGATTCTAATGGAAGAAGGTAAATGGAGAAGGTAAATATATGTTTCCCAAAATAAAAGTATTTTAAAGAAAGAGAAGAAATTGGTATACCTCTCCAAAATTGAGGATGTAAATATACCTCTCTATAATTAAGGAAGGTATAATACATTCTCATTTATCTTCCCCATTGGAGGATAAACTTATCTGTAGAAAAGGTAATTTTGACAAATATTGTTCTTTACCTTTTTATTTACCTCCTGCATTGGAGTTGCTCTCAGGAAGTTGCACGTCTAACTAGTTAGTTAGAGCAACTTCAATGGTGGGAGGTATCTTGAAGGGGTATATATCTCATTTACCTCTCCAAATGATCAAGTTTACCTTCCCACAAAGTGTGCAACTCCAATGGGAGAAGGTAAATCAAAAGGCAAAAAAGGGAAAAAATCGATCTCCATACATTATTAGGAAAAATTTAGTGGATTTATCTTCTTAGATCAAATTTCAATTATTAGAAAAGAAAATATACCTTTGAAAAAAAGTCATGAGGAGGTAAATTTGAGGTTTGTTGCCTTTGTTTCTTCTTGATTAATTTGTTTAATTCAAAGATTTTATAAAAATCCAACTAATTTATTCGAAAAAATTAGAAAGTCAGTTGTCAAATAATTAAAAATAAATTATGTCCAATTGCACATGTAAAATTTTAAATACCCGAGTAGAAAAAACTTAAAAATATAGAGTACAAAATTAAAAAACAAAGTATCATCTTTTTGTTAATTCTTGACTCGTTAAGTTTTGCAATAACAAAGACACAATTAAAAATTTATAATAATACATTCAAGCAAAAGTACAAAAAATACAATAACTAAAGTACTTGATAGAAATTTAAAAGGTCTGAAAAATTGATATACCTCCCCAAATGAAGAATGTAAAGATACCTTTTCAAAATTGAAGAAAATATAATGTCTCCTTATTACCTCTCCCATTGGAGGATGATTTTTTAACAAAAGAGGTATATATCACAATTATTTCTCTTTACCCTCTTATATGCCCCTTCCCTTGGAGTTGCTCTTAGTTGCATCCATCCATTGACATTTATTTGTGGATTTTTCGATTTAATTGCGCAACTATGATCCTATATAAATTTCACATGTAAAATGTAAATCTTTCAATATTTTTTATGAATTGTCACATGAATCTGTTCCTTTGTATACAAAAGTCTGAATTTTTCATGACATTTATACATTAAGGTACATAAAATGAGTGTCTATCTAAGCACTATGTAAGAATAGTATGTTTTTTTTTTTCTATTTTGACTATTTTGGAGCTTATTAATTCACTTACCATCTTGAAAGATATTGTAAACTCTCAAAAAAGTAAGAATATGACTAGGGTGCCTTTACACTAAAGAGTTGGCTGGGGATTTGGGGACAAATTCTTCAATTTTTTCAAAGATAATTTAAAATGATAAAAAATAAGCGAACTTTATATCAAAAAAGCATTCAAATGAGTAAAATAAAATTTTTTTAATGTAAAAACTATATAATTTTAATTATATCATAGCTTAAAATAAATATGATAATTTAAATGCTACTTTACCTTAATATTCTATTTAAACAATTATTCTCCCCGTCTAAAAATGATTTACACTTTTTCTACTCGATAACTTTTGTGTGTTAATATTTTTTCATTGTTAATTTGATAAAATAAAATACTCTTATCGCATCTAAGTATTTTGTAAAAGTTTTAATTAATTTGATGTTGTTTTTAAATATATAATTTGTATTTTTTATGTCTGTATCAATCAATAGATAAACTCATCTGTTTAAAAAAATAGATAAAATCGTTTTTAAGAAGATAGGATTTTGAACATTGTTCAAATAGTGTATGTAAATAATTTGAACAAAGAGAGTATTTTTTTCTTTTAGACTTCTTTTTTTATTTGGACACATATCTTTTTTCACCAGGGCACATTATTAATGAACTAAAATTTTACTCCCTCCATTCCTAAATAAATTTTCCCTTTCGTTTTTTCTTTGTCTCCAAATAAACTTCTCTTTTCCCTTAAAAAAACCCCTTTTATCCCTTACTTTTTCATACACCACCTATCACATCATACTGTTTTTACTAATAATCTACATATCATATCTTACTTTTACACATTACATCAAGGGTATTTTTGGAAAGTCAATACAAAAATATCTTTCTCTTAAATCCTCAAAAAGTCAAAAAGAGAAATTTATTTAGGGACGAAAGGACTATATTTTACTTACACTACATATTAAAAGAAAATTGACTAGGCGTACATCTGCCCATGCTCCCTTCTTCCACAAAAAATGGCCTAATTAAAATTTTAGACTTTTGATAATCTCTAGTTGCGTATATCTTTTCATGGTCATTTCCTAAAATAAAATATTTTTGTTACTGGTTATTTTGTAAAGTTTTATAGATACAGGAGGAGTATGTATTTATGCATGTATGTGTGTATGAATGTATCGACTCTACGGGTGAAATGTGTGAAGTAGGTAAAAATGAGTGATATAAACAATAATTTTTTAATCATTAATCTAATGAAATGAAAACTTATGAAGTGTATAACACAGAAAAAATCTTAGATAAATAAGAGATTAATACTCGTAATGTTTATGATATATCTAATAAATTATGCAAAGAAATAATTTTCTAAGTTATAAACTAGACTTTTATAAAAGGGAGCGTCTAAAATGACACCAGTTACTTATACACCAGTTACTTACACCAATTCGTTTGGGGTACCTACGGTGCTCTGTGTGTAAAAACGACGGTTCCTACCCCCTAGTCCTCCCCCTAAACCTCCTACCCCAGCCCCACCCTTGCTCCCCACCCTACCCTGGCATTACACTACATCATCCATCCACCATTTTCTTTTTGAGATTTATCTATTGGAGCGATCGGGTGGATCTGTTATTCATCCGGGTCGGGTGGAAATTGCATCACAATTCACAAGTTCTCATCTTTCCATCCCTTTGAAACACTAATTGGCTGCAGCTGTCGACAATGGCCGGCAAGTCTGAGAGTTTCTTGAAGCTTTACGGTAAAGGACATTACATCACCGTCTCAATCTACCATACAGTGTATGTTTTGCCTTAGCCATTCTAATTTCGTGACAGGATACGATCTGCTGTTGGGGTCGATTGCCGCGTTTTATGTCTTCGCCGCCCCTTACACTAAGGTTGAAGAAAGCTTCAACGTTCAGGTACACCTTAGTTCATCGCTCACACTCAATTATTTAGTGTTCACTTTTCAATTGAGAATTATGAACACTTATTTGTCATTTGAGGTCATACCCAAAGATATGGTACCAATTTAGAAATGAAATGGAGAAGAATGAATAGAAACAAGTTGCATTTGAGACAATTTCAACCCTTTCTTGTGTCTTAATTTTGACGGTGTTAATGTTGTTTTGCTTTTCGACTAGGCAATGCACGATATTTTGTTTCATAGACATCACTTAGAAAAGGTAAATTTTTGCTTCGTCTTTGTGTTTAGTTACTTCTTTGCTTGTATAGGTCGTCTTTATTGATGATGCTATGCCTAAATTTGCTACCTTTGTGTTGTAATTCCAGTATGATCATTTTGATTTCCCTGGAGTTGTTCCTCGCACATTTATTGGTGAGTTTTTGTTCCTTTTGCTTTACCTGCAATTGTAAATGTTTGATACATTGCTTTTTTTCTCCTCAGCATTTCCTGTATTGCTCCAAGAAACCATTTTTGTTGTCAGGTGCTTTTTTTGTATCAATATTGGCATCTCCCGTTGTTGCAGCAATGAGTTTTGCGCACTTGCCAAAGATTTATAGTCTTTATGTGGGTGAGTTCCTTAGACACCTGTCTCCCGTTCTTTGGTTTTCTTTTTCATACACCCACCCCCATTCTTAAAAGAAAAAAATGATACAATTCACTGGGGAGTTTTCATTAGCCAAAAGAATGCATTATTTTCCTTAATTGATTGGCATATGAGATATGACAGAGTCTATATTTCATATATTGCTCATTGCCCAGGTTGACATGTTTCTTGAATTAGACTAACACTAAACCTACACGGTGCATCATAATGATTATGGTCTTTGCTTGTGTGTTAGGTTTTCTCAGTCTAGTGGTTTTTCATTTTTTTGTGCAGTGAGACTGGTGTTAGGTTGCATCACTTTGTTTACCTTACGGTTTTTAAGGGAACAGGTATGTGATTTCTATGTAAATAGAAGAAGCTGATAAAACTCATTTGTATGCAATTCTGCAATTACATTACTTCATAGTTCATTCATTTCGGCAATCTTCGATTTTTAACTGCATCTATATGTTTTACTTGTCAGCATTCACTTATGCTTTCTCTCAAGTTTCTAAGAGTTCATTTGTTTCATCTCTCATATGGAATATGAAATATATGTAATTATTGCTTGTTTAGTATGTGGATGCAAAATGACTCCTTAAACTGTCTACACTTCTTTTACAGTGAAGTATCATTTAGTTAATGCAACTTTTGACACCCATCATGGGTCATTCAAAAACAACCGATCTACGTTTTAAACATAGGGGTTAGGCTGCCTACGTGATTCCGTGTGGTGCTTGAGCCGGAGGTCTCTTTGGAAACAGTCTCTCTACTTTCAAGTAGGAGCAAGGTCTGCGGACACACACCCTCCCCAGACCCTACTCTTGTGGGATTCAACTGAATTAGTGAGTAGTAGTAGTAGTAGTTGTTGTGTTTTAGATGTGGACACCTAACTAGGTTTTCTAGCGTACTTGCTATGGATTTTAGCATGCCCAATTAAGATCACCTCGACTTTATTTCTTTTGGTTTTTCAATTAGTTGGGTAGAAATTAAACTAAGATGATCCTGGTTGTCTAATGGCAGTAATCCATGTTTCCCAAAACTAATATTTGGCATCTACTTGAGTGTGAATGTGCAGTAAATTTCGTTCTTTTGACTGAGGAACCATGTTCCCAGTGCATTCCTGGCAAAGATCTATATATTCTTTTCAATAAAAACTTTATTGTGTGCTTTTCAAATTGTTATTTGACAAATAGCAATACAAATAGTAGTCTAAACTCTATTTGGTACTAGCAGATCAGGAAGAAATTTGGATATCAAGTTGAAGCATTTTTTGTGATACTGACAGCTTCTCAGTTTCATATGCTGTTTTATTGCACTCGTCCTCTTCCTAATGTATTCGCATTTTGTTTAGGTGAGACATAAAGGTGATTTTTATATATATACAGTTTTACTTCTATGCTGTCACTTGTTGGTTATTGATTTTTTAGGCGTGTCTTCCCCCCCCAAATAAGTTGGATAACTTGAGTTGCTTGAGTTCAACCATGCCTTAATACTAAAACAGTTGTGGAAAGAAAACAGAAATTCCCCTTTTTGTTGATGGTAGAGAAATTTGGAAGCCGCAATTTACAATTAGTACTTTGTAATATAGGTGTTATCCCGACATTCGTCGTATTGAAATAATGCATCATCGGCCAAATCACCAATCACATAGTCATGCTTTTCTTTTATATGAGCTCCCCACACATTTGCGAAAGAATAATAAGTTTTTTCTGCCCCTCATGGGGTAGTCCAACGGTATTAGGCAAGAGGATTGTAAGAGAGGTCGTGAGTTTAAATTCTAGAAGGAGCAACTTTTCTAAGGTGATGTAAGTTCTGGGCGGGACTCATACTTCGGAGCATTCATCTTGGGTGCCATGTGAAATTAAACACGGATTTACTTGCCTAAGAGTATGAGAGATTGATTCATAGGTCTATGGTTATTAGGGAAAAAAGTCTATCAATTAACATATGTAATTCTGTTTCTTGCAGTTAATTTGGCTTATGGTTTTTTGCTCAAAGGAAGTTTCTATGCAACGTTAAGATGTTTGGTATGTTGTGCAACCACTCCGCCAGGAAACATGATCTCTACTTATGCATCATTCATTTTAACTTGCAGTATCATCCCGATTTTTGCAAAAAGGTTCTGTAATTCTAAACTAAATTTCTTTTTTATCTTACTAAAATTCATTTCAGTTTCTAGTCATATAACATCTCTTTAACTTTTCTTTTATTAAGGGTCATTTGTCTTTTAATCATTACATTTATGTTGCTTTAATTACTTGAAAGCTTTCAATTTTTCAGATTATTTCTACAATCATATTCAGATGTGATATTTTATTGCTTCTTGCTCCATTCGGCTTGCAACTATTGCTGGTATGGTGTGCAAACGTTGTTGAAGCAAATCTACTAAGTTTTATTCCCATAGATTATTTCACTATTCATATTTTTTTACTTGCACTATTGTTCCTATATTCATAAAAATGTTCAGAGAGTTGTGATTCAAAAGTGCCAATCTCTTGAAGTAGATAGTGCAAATTTGTTTTGCATGAAGAGTGTGAATTGATGCACTATTTATTGTTGCTTAGGAGCACAAATCAAAAGCTGTTGTTTCCTCTTGAGCTGAGAAGGATATTGAAGAATGTTATTGTAAATTCATACAAGAAAAAAACATAAAACTATAAAAGTATGACACATCATAGGATTAAATTAATTTATTTTAGTATGTATGCTATTTTTTTGGTCTTCTTCTAAGTGCAGACAAAGTCAATCTCTCTGTGGAAGGCAATGAAATGCATGGAAACTGTTGTTTTCTGCATAGGTATGCAAAATACACTGCCTACTGATGTCTGGGTTTGGATAGACTTGTGTCTGTTTTTTCTGAATTTATCAACATTAATCCAATTGTATACCATTCAGGTCTTACATTATTGGTTGACTCTGTCATGTGGAGGAGGCTATTATGGCCTGAGTTTGAGGTTTTCTGGTTCAACTCTGTGTTGAATAGAAGTTCTGAGTGGGGTGTATCCTAAATCATAATTCGATTTGTGCTTGGCTTAAAGTCTGCACTCCTAGATATATACCTGAATATTTATGTGTGGTTTAGTTTCTTTTTTATTTCCCCCCGGCCAGCCAGCAGCAAAACTTCATGAAATTTTCATCATTTTTTCTTCTTCCTTCATACTACTCTACAGACACATCCTTTTCATTGGTATTTCACTTCAGCACTTCCCCGCTCATTACTTGCTTCCTATCCGCTTTTTGTGGTGAGTTTACTCTGAAATCGGTATGATATTTTAACCTTGAGCTCAACACCGTGCATACATTTAAATCAGGGGTGGGATTGGGCCTGGTCTGGTTGGTTATTTATGCCCATTTGAGCCTGAAAAATCTTTCCTTGCTTTCTAATACATAGTACTCTGTATTTTACTTTTAAATAGAACAATCATGTCTTCATTTTCTCATTAATCTATTGACGTATAATTTCCATCATCTCCGATGGAGCCAAAATTTCACCATTTTTTGGCTTTGGGGTGTGATGGAATAAATCAAAATGGATCTCTAAACTGTCTGCGCTTCTTTAATTAATGAAGTAGCAGTTAGTCAAGCAATGCAACTTTCGACGTTGAGCCAGGGGTCTCTTTGGAAACAGCCTCTCTACTTTCAAGTAGGGGCAAGGTCTGCGTACACACACCCTCCCCAGACCCTACTCTTGTGGGATTTAACTGGGTTGTTGTTGTTGTTCTATTGACGTATAGAAGTTACAGATAATCTTTTACATATTACTGGACAAATTCTTGAACTATTATTACAAAAGTTTAAAGTCATAACCATTAGCAACTAGTAAACAGTTCTTTTTGATGAAAACTACAATATTGTCTTAACAACTGAAAGATACATACTGTCTAGACCTTACTCTCTAGTTAGATATAATGGGTTTGTTTGGTTTGGTTCGTAGAGATATAAGAGCAAACCACTAGCTGAGAATGCATGCTGTTTTTAAACCTCCAAAACTTCATTATCTGTTCATTGCATATGATGTGGTTTCTCTTTGCAGCTTGGAGTTTTACTAGACAGGAGGATTTCCTTCTACATTCTTCCAGCTCTCTCATTTGTGTTACTGTACTCAAAACTGCCACACAAGGTATTGTGTGATGTATTTTGTAATGAGTTATATACTACATACCAATGATCTGGAAAATGTTCTAAATTTTTTCCGATGGTCCAGGAGCTCCGTTTCATTATCAGTTCCATTCCAATCTTCAACTTATCAGCAGCAATTGCAGCTAGCAGATTGTATGTGGTGGAATTTTCCAGTGATTATAAACCTTCGATCCATTTTGAATCTGTTGCTCTTTCAGTAGAAGAATTGAAAATGGATTAACTGGCGCATTTGGGGTTTTCTTGAAAATTAAGACAATCATAAGTGCATCTTTCTCTTCCTTCTGAATCATCTATGCCACAGTTTCTCATTGTTTTACTTACGGTTTCAATTTCATGTAGGTATAATAACAGGAGGAAGAGGTTCTGGAATCTTCTTTATATTGGTTTGCTGGGATTGATTTTGGGGAGGTACACAGATGAGAGATTTGTTCGTTGCATTTTGAAGTTTTGTGTTTTTGTTAATAAAAAAAGTTAACACTTCAATTTCTCGTATTGTAGCGTAGGATGCACGCTGATTTTTTTCATGGCATCATATGAGAACTATCCTAGTGGTTATGCTCTAAAAGCCTTGCACGGTAGAATCTCTCTCTCTCTATCTATCTCTCTCTTGTTTTTATATAAAAAAATTGTGCATGATTAACATTCAAAATTGTCAGATGTTTCTTTTACAAGCACTACTCTGGGTTTTCAATGTTTGAGTTCTAAATGGACTCATTGTTTCTTTCAGGTAACATGTTGAACAATCTAAATGAAGTCCATGTTCATATTGACACATTCTCAGCAATAAATGGAATTTCCCGATTCGGTGAAAATGATTATCCTTGGAGGTAAATGTGTAGCGGGTCCCAAGTAAAGCTTTGGTCCTTCATACAATACATGAAAAATATTAACATGCTCTCTAGCTTCTAGGATTAGTCAAATGCTGTTTGAAAAACTTTAGGTGTACTATAATTTGTACCCTCATTTTGTGTAAAAAAATTATAATTTTTACCCTCACGGCCTGCCTCGGGATAGAAACAGAAACAATTGAGAAAACCCGATGAAACAGATGAGAATTCCCGGTCACAATTGGCCATTTCATGAAGTACATTCATAATGTCTGTGATCTGTTACATGAAAGATTCTTTGCATATATTCAGGTACTCTAAAGAGGAAGGCATTTCTTTGGAAGAGTTTCAGAATCAAAATTTCACATTTCTTTTGAGGTAAGCTTTCCTCTTCTGCATTATCAATTACTATCATTAATCTTTGATGTGTGATTAAATATATGCAAACAGAAGCTTAGTGAGTCACCCATGTTTGTGTCTATTCTCGTATCACAGCGAGCGCTCTGACATCAAGGGCTTCAAGTGTCTATTCACTGTAAATGGATTCTCACGAGTTCGCCTTCAAAGCCAGTTTCCACCTATATCACTGGTGGGCTACTTTTTTTATTTATAGAATCACACTACAATTACACCACCACTGACATGACCAGGACAATGTTTTCTCACATACATTGAGGAGTCATGCTAGAAACTCACCAGCTTTGACACCAAGAATTTGAGATCAAGTGTTTCACATATACTCCATATATATATATATATACAGACAATTATTGTCTTATCTATGAAATATTTGGTGTCAAACTTGGTGGGTTTCTAACATTTGTTCTACAATGAGGGTCTATATGTGATTGTGTTTGCTCATGTCATCCTTGGGGGTTAAAGTAGCATTTTCCCTTTTGAGTTCAATTTTTTTTTTTATTTTCAAATTGTGGTTCTGATTTGTTAAATAGTTTGCTAGTGTTTGTTTGTTTTATTTTAAATTTCACAAAATTCTAATAGTGATATTCTTTTTCTCTCTTTACTTTTTTTTTCACAGGAAAAGGAACCAAAGGTATTTGTTCATGGTAGTATAAGAAATGCAGAAATCATGGATAGAAGTTGGCCTCAGTGCAATGCTATATCTTGAGAGATCATTCTAATAGTTTTTATATTGAGAAATACAACTACTAAAGAAGCACACTCTCTTTGTTCCATAGAAAGAGTATACTTTAAAATGATTTACCAGTCTGTTTTTTAATCTCAGTAAATTACAACTTTTAGAAAATGTTAAATATAAAAAAAGTGACTAAATCCACACATTGAATGATTAATTATATTCATTAGCCATGAGGTACATAAAAATATAAAATGGTGTGTTGACAGTTTCAACACATGACCTGCAGAAAAAGTCAGTCAGTCAACCCTCAAAATTTCCTGGAAATTAATTTTCCACACTGTTTCTCCTCTATCTCTCTATTGCCTATGCAATATATAAATGATGCATTCATTCATTCAATCATTCACAACCTTCATAATCCCCAAGTGTAAAGCAACCAATTAACTCCATCAAAGGATATGACCATGGCCACTACTTATGCCATCCACCGGCAAACCACCGGTTTCCCCTCGTCCTCATCGTCGTCTTCCCCTCCTCCTCAACCCGGCTTGCAGAACCCGAAGGAAAAGGACCACCAACCACCCATCACATTCCACGTCACAATCCCTTTCAGCCTCCCAGTCTCTCCAGAATCAGCCGCGAGCAGGATCATCAGGAACATGGGGAAGTTCGGGTTGTACTACTTTGAATTCGTGTGGATCGTATTGTTTGTTGCCCTTGTCCCGCAACGCAAGGTCTCGGCCATCATCATGGCGGCAACCAAAGAGGCTGCAATCGTGTACCTTCTTCTCCTGCGTGGAGTCCCTGCGAGTCTTGTTCTGGCCCGCAAGATTCTTGACCGGAAGCTGCTGGTTTTGGGACTGCTAGGTGTGGGTACTGGGGCGGCGCTCGTGGCCATGCATTCCGGCCTTCATCTGCTCATCACTCTCGCCGCGACTCTCCCTCTCGTCTTAGCTCATGCCGGGCTCTGGTCTGGTTGGGGAGCGGTTGATCCATTGTTGGAGAATGATGATAATCACCAATATGCTCCACTTGTTTAAGCTACCTATACGCCAAAAATATTCGGGGACACTAAGAATTTGACACGACTGTAACACTACGCTTCTTACAGGCATGCACAAACAATAAGTGCGTGTAAACATTTATTGTTTGTGTATGTCTCTAATAAGTTTGGTGTCAAAATTTTGGTGTCCTTGTGGCCTATTCATACCCATGCAACTTCTTGTAGTAAATGGACTTTTTCCTTCTTTTCATTGAATGGTTTCTGTCAAATAAAGGAGATCGATGGAAAGAGTATCAATAAATTTGTTCTTGACGATTATATGTACATTTGTTGTCTATGAGCTATACCACGGGAGAAAAGTAATTCACATACAATTGTGATATTTTGTGTCAATTTGTTTGAATTGGCTAAAAACATTTCTTTTTCAAGAGTAGCGAAGTGTTATACTTGTTTTAGAATCTAAAAATGTGAATTCTGTTTAGGGTTAGATTTTCTCAAGTAAGCATTAGTTTAATTTTTTCGAAATAGGCTAAATTTGAAGGGTAAGCTTCTTTTTCACATTGGAGTCTAGTGTAATATTATGACATTAGCGGGGGGGGGGGGGGGGGGG